GACTGACCTCCACAGTCCTGACCTCAACGAGATATAACACCTTTGGGATGAATTAGAGCGGAGACTGCGAGCCAGGCCTTCTCATCCGACATTGGTGCCTGACCTCACAAATGCGCTTCTGTAAGAATGGTCAAACATTCCCATAGACACACTCCTAAACCTTGTGGATAGCCTTCCCAGAAGAGTTGAAGCTGTTATAGCTGCAAAGGGTGGGCCAAGTCAATATTGAACCCTACAGACTAAGACTGAGATGCCATTAAAGTTCATGTGTGTGTAAAGGCAGGCGTCCCAATACTTTTGGCAATATAGTGTATCTTATGTGAAATGTGTTATTGAAGCAGAGAACAATAGGACTGGTCCGATGAAAGTCTGTTCCATTATATTCTTGTATGCTTAATGAATTGGGGTTTAACCTCTTCAAAGGCAAGTCATGCCCCTCTACACTTTATAATCTCTGGAACAGTTTCTGTGGAGAATGGATGACCTGTGGCTGGACCTATGCATAATGCATCTGTCTCTACCCCTCTTCTGAGGCGAGTGTGCGCATATGCTGAGCATTCTCCATTTAGTTTCATTGAACTGGACTGCACAAGTACTGCTCAAACGGTGTTGACAAGCGGCTCTGCAGCTTTTTTGGGTGATACTCTTTGGACCCGGGACAGGTGAATACAAAATTGTCAGGGAAGGAGGGTGCGCTGGAATGGCAAGCTACAAAGTGTAACTGCACCAAAAGTAAAGTTGCACAATGAATACGCTTTTACTCATAAATTGGAGATCATATTCCCCAACAGGTTAAAAATAGAAGGAAAATGTTAAAGCAGTTTTCACACAATAGTTGAACTCTTTCTACTTATTTCTGATTGTGGAGAGCAGAGGTATTGTGGGATTTAAAGCCTTCATCCAATTGATTCCCATAGAGTGGATGGCTGTGAGAGGGAAAGACCTGGCCCATCTGTCACAGCTTTGTTCAGTCAAGTCCTTTGTCAGTTTTGGAATAGAATGACCATTCGTGGTACAGGATCTAATTTAAAAACTACCACAGCATAGTGCTTCTTGTGGTAATTCGGAGGTGGTAATAACAGAAATAAAGCATATTCAAAGCCCAACTCCAGGCTATATATATATATATATATATATATATATATATATATATATATATACATATACACACACACACACAGTTAGGTCCATTTTAGTTAGGCACAATTTTAGATGTTTCAGGTATTTACCAAAAACATATTCAAGCTACAGTTCTATAATGGATATGGGCTGAAAGTGCACACTCTCAGGTTTAATTTGAGGGTATGTACATCCAAATTGGAGGAAGGGTTTAGGAATTACAGCTCTTAAGAGTAGCCATCCCCCCTTTTTCAAGGGACGAAAAGTAATTGGACAATTGAGTATAATCCATAAATAAAATGTTCATTTTTAATATTTTGGTGAGAATCCTTTACTGGCAATGACTGCCTGAAGTCTGGAACCCATGGACATTACCAAAGACTGGGTTTCCTCCTTTCTGATGCTTTGCCAGGCTCTAACTGCAGCTGTCTTCAGTTGTTCTTTGTTTGTGGGTCTTTCTGCCTTTAGTATTGCCTTCAGCAACTGAAATGCATGCTCAATTGGGTTTAGATCAGGTGATTGACTTGGCCAATGCAGAATGTTCCACTTCTTTTCCTTTAAAAGCTCCTGGGTTGCTTTTGCACTGTGTTTTGGATCATTGTCCATTTAAACTGTGAAGCACTATCCAATCAACTTTGCTGCATTTGGCTGAATCTGGGCTGACAGTATATTTCTAAACACTGCAGAATTCATCCGGCTGCTTCTGTCACATCATCAATAAACATCAATGACCCAGTACCACTGGCAGCCAAGCATGCCCATGCCATCACACTGCCTCCACCATGTTTTACAGATGTTGTTGTGTACTTTGGATCATGAGCTGTTCCAAGCCTTCTCCACACTTTTTTCTTCCCGTCATTCTGGTACAGATTAATCTTAGTTTCATCCATCCAAAGAATGGTTTTCCAGAACTGATCTGGCTTTTTTAGATGTTTTTTGGCAAAGTCTAATCTGGCTTTTCTATTCTTCAGGCTTATGAATGGTTTGCACCTTGTGGTGAACCCTCTGTATTTGCTCTCGTGTAGTCTTCTCTTGATTGTAGACTTTGACAATGATACGCCCACCTCCTGGAGAGTGTCCTTCACTTGTCTGGATGTTGTGAATGGGTTTTTCTTTACCATAGAGAGGATCCTACGATCATCCACCACTGTTGTCTTCCGTGGACGTCCATCCCTTTTTATGTTGCTGAGCTCACCAGTGTGTTCTTCTTTCCTCAGAATGGACCAAACTGTTAATTTGGCCACTCCTAATGTTGCTGCTATCTCTCTGATGGATGTGTTTTGTTTTTGAAGCCTTACAATGGTCTGTTTCACTTTCTTGGACAGCTCCTTTGAACACATGATGTAGGTTCACAGCAATAGATTCCAAATGCAAATACCACACTTAGAATCAACTCCAGACCTTTTACCTGCTTAATTGATGAGGAAATAACAAAGGAGTAGCCCACACCTGGCCTTGAAACAGCTTTTGATTCAATTGTCCAATTACTTATGGTCCCTTGAAAAAGGAGGGATGGCTACTGTAATTCCTAACTGTGTGTGTGTGTGTATATATATATATATATATATATATATATATATATAGCCATAGCCATCCCTACCTCTAACCCATCCTGCCAAGTGTAAAGTTTTCCTTACCTGGTGAATCCACTAGAAGAACTATTCCATTGCCGCACGTTATACCCAGAAAAGCGGCTGGCTGAAATCACACTCTGCAGAGTACAGGGCAGAAAGCTCTGAGAGTTGATTGGAAGGAACAGATTACCCCCCCCCCCCTCCACACAGTTCACAGGAACAGAGCTGAGGCTGTCATTTTGCTGGAGCTCCCTGTCCTGTCACCATTTGTCTCTTGGTGTCAGGAAAGCTTGTCAGAAGTGACTCATGCTAGTGGCAGAGGAACAAAGCAGCAGACAGAAATTACACTTAGTGCTCTTAATTGAGACAGTACACACTATAGAAGGATGATTACATTACCATGTGTTTAGGTAAGTGGGATTTTAAAAGGAGTTTTTGTTTTTTATCTATTAGCCCAGCACCTAAAGTCTTGCTTTAAAAACAAAAGGTAATATGTTTCAGCTTACTAGTCCTTAAATGTGGCGGCTGCATTGGTTTTCTTCTTTTCAGGCTAAGAATATTTTCAGCAAGTACAGAAAAACATGTTGATTTTGCCAGCACTGCAATGTCCATGTCACTACATGTGAGATAAACTGGAAGCACAAAAATGGGTAAGTTTCTTTTGTAAACTACTAATTCCATCAGCCCCCATATAATGGAAATGAAGAGAGGAAGACATGTTTGAAGACAAGCCTTAGTGACAACCATGGATCTCTCCATAGATACAGTGGAGGAGTGAATGTAGCCACCTAGGGACAGGAAGTGTGTTATCACCTGGTAAGAATAAAGGGAGGGGGGAAGCTGAAAAAAGAAAACTAATGCAGCCAACACATCTAGGGATTGGTAAGATGGAATATATTACATTTTTGTGGGTTTAGATACGCTTTACACATTATTTCTAAAGGGGAATGAAGGCTTCTGAGATAAAGTTGATTAGGTGCTCTAAGTGTTTAGTATGTAAAGAAAATGAAAAAATATGAGTGAATAAATTGCTCTACAGTTGCGAATACAACATTGTTCTAGTTTTTAGTTGATTTGTTTTTAGATGTAGGTACTTGTAATAGCTCACACCAGGGATGGTATATGACACAGAAATGACAACCAATAACCCATAGTTAACAGCTCCCAGAAACTGTAATTGAGCCTCATAGCTCAACTCATCATCTCCTCTTTATTTGGATGAAGACAAAAAGCCAGTCTGAGCTGAAATGCAGTTCATGCAATTTAGATGCAAATGGCAAACTAATACGCTTTGTTCGCTTCAATTAGTTTACAATTCATTAACATTTTTGGCGTGTTCTGATCACTTTCAAGGTCATTTGTCTTTCCTCTGTTTGGATCACTTAATGGGAACATTTTCCACATCAGTGTTTTGTTAAATGTTCTGCGTTGTCTTCATTTATTTGCTGTCTTCTCTCCTCTAAATAATCGTGAAGGGTTTCTGTCTAGATCCATAGCCTTTTAAAAGGATGAGTGTACCTTTGTGTATACTTATCCTTTTTTCAGATAGTACCTCCGTGTACTGCACAATGCAGCTCATAATTGCTCCTTGGTAATAGGAGAAACACTAGTTCTTGTTTGCGGCTTCTATGGGGGCTGATGTACTGACTACAAAAATCCATGACAGTGTGCAGGCTCATTGGGGCTGATTTACTAAATGATCAGAGGTTATTCAATTTGCATAGAGGATTTGTTTACTATTGTTAGTGAACATATACTTTAAATAATCTCTATTTATAAGGTTAACCTCATTGGATTCTTGCCCTTTAAATGAATTTATAGGTCCGATATAGCAGAAAATAATGTATTCTGGTAACTGTATGTGGTTAATACCCGCAATGATAATATTTACTAAGTGAATTCCTTTTTTGTTTCACATGCCTTTATTTCTGCTTTTTTCTACAGTTACATGCAGGCCAACTTCTTCAGCATAAATTAAAGCAAAGCCGGCCATACAGGCATAGATTTTTTAAATTCCTCCATCCATGATAATAACGTCGATGAACAAAACACCCTTGATGGCTATTGTATTCTGACAGCTGGAACCCATGGCTGTCAGAATACCCAGTGAGTGCAGCTGCTTGGATGCGGTCACTGTTTACAATGTTTAGGTTTTTTTTTTTTTTGGTTTTTTTTTCTTCACTTTTTTTTGATTATCACATTAGTAGAATCTCTGAGAGGTCTTCTGTAAACATACTTTATGGAGACTTGTCCACATTTCATATTTCTCTCGTTGCTAATCTTGATGTTTCCCTCCTCTTTGTACAGATAGGTTGTGACCGCAGTAAAAATCTTATACACATTTGCGGAGAAAAGGAATACAAGGCCTGTGTTTGTGATGCCTTATCAGTTCCATTCAGACCTGGTTCATTTGATGCCTGTATCTCTATAGCAGTAATACACCATTTCACCACAGAGGTAGGTAGATCGTTGGATCTCAAACATTTCCGAATAGTTGTGTTTGGCTTTTTTAGAACACGCATCTAACTGAAAAGTTTTAAAGTATAAAAGTATAAAGTAAAATAAAAATATCTAAATCCAATTAGTCAGGACTGGAATCTGAATATTCAGTCTTAAATTTGGGTTGGAGGATATCAGAAGATTTAAAGAGTGAAAACCGTATTTTCTAAAGAAAAAAAGGGCTCGGCCTTTGTTTACTATACATTGTGCTTTAGCAGACTAAATGTCATCCAGTTGGTGTTTACATCTACTTTACAGCAGTAGTAAACTCTTTTCTGCTACTTTTACCTACAGGTAAGCTTATAATGACGCTTAACTGTAGGCAAAATGAATATCTCCTGAACATGCACCATTGAGGAGATATTCTAGTGAGCATCAGTTGGTGATGTCATGGGCGCATGCACTTTGAAAAGACACCATAGTCGTGCCATCCCTTCAGAGCTCTGAGCTGCGGCCGTGACTCCCATGCACAGGCGCAGAAGTGACGTCATAGCAGCTTGGCCATTCAAAAGGCTGGAGCCATGAACCCATAAGGAAGATCGGGTGAAGATGGAAACTGTCAGCGGTGACAGTGCACCGCTGGAGGGATTCCTTTTAAGGTAAGTCAGCCAGGGAGAATTTTTTTTTTTTCACGGAGAAAGTTTACTAGTGCATTAAGATCTGTGAGGCTAAATGTTTCTTTGCATTTGAAAACAGGATGTTATAAAGTGCTTTTTTTAAATCTATATTCAGGAAAGAAGATTGGCAGCTCTACAAGAATTAACTGATCTCCTTAGGAAAGGTGGGCAGGTGTTAATCTATGTCTGGGCAATGGAACAGGAGTACAAGAAGAAGAAATCGAAATACCTGAAGGAAGGCAAAAGTTTTAATGAACCATTACCTCTGAGTAGCAAAGCCGATGTGAATCAGGACTCCAATAGCAAATTACCTGTTCACACTAACAGAACAGCCTTCGACTCTCAGGACCTTTTAGTGCCATGGCATCTCAAGCCAAAATGTCAATCCAAGAACTCTGAAGCCTCTACGGGGGCAGAGCAGCTGGTGCCCAGCTCTGTGTATCATCGATATTACCACGTGTTTCGGGAAGGGGAGCTGGAGGCACTGTGCAGAAAACTGCAGGATGTTACAGTCCAGCACACGTACCACGATCAGGGGAACTGGTGTGTAATCCTGGAGAAGCTGTGAAACCTCAGAAGACTATCACCCAGGGCTGGCCAGATGTTCGCTCATTGCACATCACATCCTTGAGGGGGTTCTGTGTTCCAGACGTTTAGGGAAGAGTCTGACTCTTAAATCTTCAGTTAACTTTATGAATATTTTTAAAATGATGATCATTTAATAAATAAACAGCTAGAAGGATTTGGACGAATATGATCACTGGTTTCTAGAGGTCTAATACGTGTCAGTGTGTGCACACTAGGTGGCATTATTTCACTAGGAATCATTTCCAGACATCAGTGCAAGTAGAAGTCCTGTTTGAAGGCTTGATAAGAATAACATTTGGTACAAATGCAACATCTGAAGAAAATACAATACAATTTAGATACATATGTCATAACATTGTGCTATTATCCCTAGTTCACACGGTTGCAATTTATCATGCATATAAAGCATGCCATCTTAATTAATGCAACTCAGGTCAGGGCCATAGACTGCAATCACAAAAGTCACAAGGAAATTGCAAGCAAGTTGCTCGACTTTGGGGACGTAACAGTGTGAACCGAGCCTTATCCACATGAAAAAACGTTATGTAGTAAAGTAATTCAAATAATTGTATAATAAGGCATTGCTAGGCTAGTACAGCGTTTTTTGCAATCAGACATGCCATATTTACAGTGACATAAGGTTGCACCCACACTTCAATTCGGAGAACCCCAACTTGCATACAAATTCAACCTAAAGCGGAGCTCCACTTAATAGAAGTTCCGCTTTAAGGACTGCTCCCCCGCTTCCCATTGGGGGGGCGGGTACCCGAATTTGACAGGCCTAGGCGATTGGAAACGGAAGGTGCCCTCCCTCCCTGTAGTCTTTTGGGACATGTAACAGGTCCCAGAAGACTACAGGACCATTCATGAAGCGCAGCGCTACTCACGCATGCGCAGTGGGTACCTGGCTCTGAAGCCGCAAGCTGTCACAGCCAGGTACCCACACTGAAGATGCCAGCCTCCTGGAATACAGGATGGCCGGTGAAATGGGCTGCGGGGGCACCACGGGACCAAGGGACAGGTAAGTGGCTGTTTTTTAAAAGTCAGCAGCTACAGTTTTTGTAGCTGCTGACTTTATTTTTTGACAGGGTGAGTGGAACTCTGCTTTAAGAACAAACCTACAGAACCTAGCTTGTTCGTAACCCGGGGACTGCCTGTATATATAATATTCCTTCCTATCTATTTACTAATGTTAGCAGCATAAGGATTAAGAATTAGTTAAAGTGGAACTAATAGGTGAATATTTACCTGTTCAATTGTCCTTTGCCGGTGCCAGCATTTTCTTCAGAGTACTGGTTTTTGGGCCTCTTCATTGGCAAGTTGGGAATTATGTCACTCCTACGCATATGCAGGAGGCCATCATCCCGATACTCAGAAACCAGCCTGCAACTGTAATCTGAGCTATGCATGTGCAGCTCAGTTTACAGTATGGGAAGAAGACAATGAGCAGGGAGGTAGGAGCATTTTATTGCAGAAGAGACAGTGCATGTCTCTGTTGCAATAAAAGCGTGCCTGCTCGCTTTTTCTTACAGCGGAACTTCAGTTCCCCTTTAATGTTGATTGAGAAAGTTTAGTTGTGCTTAAGACAACTTGAACTCCAGAAGGTTTCACCTCCTTCATGACCAGGACATTTAATTTTTGCTATTCGGCATTGCTCTACTTTAACTGGCAATTGCGTGGTCTTGCAACACTGTATGCAAGTTTAGCATTTTTTTCACACAAATAGAGCTTTCTTTTGGTGATATTTGAGCACTTCTGTTTTAAAAAAAAATAAAAAAAAAATGTTTCCACTTTCTGTTATAAAACATATTTACAAAAAGTTTTCATAAATTTAGCCCAAAAAAACCCAATAAGTGAATAATATTTGTGTGAAAGTTATAGCGTTTACAAACTATGGTGTATATATACTGGAAATTATGCAGCTATAGATGCTGTACTGTAATGGCGGTGATACTCTCTGGGAGTGTCACTAACTGACACTGACATTACTAGTGACACTAATCCAGTGATCAATGATAATACTATACACGGACACTGTATGAATGACATTAGCTATGAAGGGGTTATATATGATCCTAACAAAGTGTGTATTGTGTGCTACTTTTCTATGTGGCTTTTTTTTTTTCCTTTCTACTTTGCAGTGAAAAGAAACAGCCAGATCACTGATCAGTGTACAGAGCCCTGTGTGTTTGTAAACACAGGGCTCTGTGTTGTGAATGGACACAGCTGATCATCAGGTCTCAGCCATAAATCATTGGCTGGGCCTGCTGACAGAAACGCGCTGCACGCCTGCAAACCCAGAAGTTTCCGCTAATGTACAGGTACGTGATCCGGCAGGGCTGTGCCCGCATTACAACTACTGTGGGCGGGCATCAGGTAGTTAAAGTGTATTTCCAACCAAAATATTTTTTGCAGTTCTGGATAGAGTGTGGAAGGATTAGAACCCCTGTCAGATTTGACTGCTGTCCATTTCTACAGTCATACCAAAGTAAATGCATCATCAATGTAGTTACTTTCTAGCTTTTATTGGTGTAGGTTCCCTCTTCTGTCAGCTCAAAGGGCTTGTGGCAGGGGCTGAAAAAGATGGCCTGCAGCTTCCGTTGTTGTCACAGGTCCCAGGAGCTCCATGACATATGGGAGTCATTCGATAACTCAGCCCCGTGTCTAATTAAAAAAAAAAAAATCACTTTGTGTGGACTGGCCCATAATTAGCAAAACAGTTGATCTACCTAGCTGGATTAACATTCATTTTATTGTCAGAAAATTGCCCACAGAGCGTTTTTTGTGTTACGTTTGTTTGTAGGTATACGGAAATCCACTGGTATTCCAATAGTGACAGGAAAATATCTTAAACCAGTGATTCTCCACTACCATGCCAGGGCCTGCTACCAGGCCTCAGCTGTGTAGGAGTCTGTGAAAAATGACAGCTTAAATGAATGAAAACCATGGTCCCTTGGTTCACTGTAATTGTGTAATGTGTAAACACAGTCTGTAACCAGGAAGGGGGGCTGGTCCGAGTCCCATGTATAGAAGATTTTTAAAACTATATGCATGTATTTAATTTTTGTATGTGTAGTATATTGCAGCCAATGTCCTTGGCACTATATTGACTCTCCTGCCACATACATTCCTAAGACCCTGGTAAGAAAGTAGCCAGCCTATGTACTGTTTCAGCTACATAGTTAGTCTGGTTGAAAAAAAAAAGACACTGGTCCACCTAGTTCAACCAATAAAAAGGGGGGAAAAAATTATACAATCCTATGTACACAATCCTATACCCACAGTTGATCCAGTGGAAGCATCAAGCCCCAATAAAGCATGATCCAATTTGTTCAGCAGGGGAAAAATTTCCTGATCCCTGGATCAACTTTACCTATGAATATTAGTATCTACTTATATTGTATACATTGAGAAAAGAATCCAGGCCTTTTTAAAACAATCTAATGAGCTGGCCAGGACCAGCTCTTGAGGGAGTCTATTCCACATTTTCACAGCTCTTACTGTGAAGAAACGTTTCCATATTTGGAGATTACATTTCTTTTCCTCCAGACGTAAAGAGTGCCCCCTTGTCCTCTGTGATGACCTTAAAGGAGAAGCACAGACAAAGCTCTTTTGGCTGTATTTCTGTGTATCATAGGAGTGCAGTTCGTTCTGCACTTCTGTGACCCAATGTCAGCTGGCATCACTCAGCCGGTCCAATCTGGGGAAGGATCCCAACTTAAAAGTCAGGTTCCACCCCAGAGTCTGAGAGTCTGAACCAGCCGCTCCCTCCCCCTCCATATTCCAGCGCTCCAGTGAGCACTAAAGGGGAGGAGGGGGGGGGACGCAGAGCGAACAACAGTGACTGACTTGCCCAGGCACCCTGGGGTGCTTTGAGGTTTCTTCAGGGGTGCCTTGGCAAAGTGTCTAAAAACTGCCCAAAACTTGTATGCAAGCCAGTGGGTGGAACAAGCCTGCCTTTTATTTACACAAGCCACAGGTTTTCATTGTGCACCATTACCGCCTTCTAGTCACCGGTGTCCTGACAACCATTGACATCATCATTTGATAAAGAGAATGTCAGCTGCCTGCACAGCATCCTAGTTTGACCCTCCCTTCCCCTCACCATCAGTGCTGGGGTCACATTAGCTAAGTGATGGGAGAAAAACTGAGGGAGAAGAGAAACACTGGAATACTAGTCCGTACCAGTGTGCAAAAGTGTATTTACTTTTGAAGAATAAATCACTTCTAATGTTGGGTATCCTATATGTGTGGATGTTGCTGCATTGTATAAAGCTATTAGAATAGTTTTCACATTTTAGAATGGGGTGCCCTTTTAAAATTATGGACAGTCTTGAGTTACCCCATTTTTGAATGGAGTGCCTCAAGACTGTCCATAATTTTAAAGGGTGCCTCGGGACTGTCCATAACTTTAAAGGGTGCCTTGATTGAAAAAAGATTGAGAAACACTGATGTATTGGGATATGTCTCTACTATGCACATCTAGACTGCAATATTTGCCCACTCTTCTTTGCAGAACTGTTCAAGTTCAGTTAAATTTGATGGTGACCGTTTGTGGACTGCAATCTTCAAGTCATTCCACAGATTTTCAGTGGGGTTTAAGTCTGGTCTCTGACTAGGCAATGCAAGGACATTCACCTTTTTCTCCTTCAACCACTGTGTGCTCAATTTTGCTGTGTGCTTTGGGTCATTGTCATGTTGGAAGGTAAGCCTTCCAATTGAAAACTTTCTGGCAGAGGGCAGCAGATTTTCCTCAAGAATTTGATGGTATTTAGCCCCATCCATATTTCCTTCTTTCCTGACAAGTGCTCCAGTCCCGCTGCAGGTAAACCCCCTCATAACAGGATATTACCACCTCCATGCTTTACTGTAGGAATGGTATTACTTGGTTGGTGAGCTGCATTGGATTTCTGCCGCACATATTGCTTGGTGTTGAGGCCAAATAATAAAATTTTAGTCTCATCTGACCATAACCTTTTT